AAGAGCCTATTGATACGAAATGATAGCACAAGAAGAGTAATGTAGTTATCTCTTTATTACCTAATGATTTCCTTTGAGATAGTGGTGTTAAACGCAACATAAGAATAACAGAATACTTGTGATAAATAGGATATACGTTGCATAGTGTGCCTGAAGTGCCTAGACTACCACTACAAGTCGTGTACGTATAAAACCTACGTTTGCTAGGTTATGTTTCGTTATTACAGTACGAACACATATTTGACGGCTACTTTCTGAACAATCGCGAATACCAATATTATACGCAATTGAAACACTTTACGCAAGGCTTGATGACGTATTGAAGAAATAATAACAGTTTAAGACTGACGCATTTCACACAAGTACTAATACGTTGCCTACCATATTCTCGTTAACTCTGCAATGTCCTCAAAATGATAAGTGAAAGAGACAAAGTTAGTTGATATAAATGCATATATTTGTAAGGAAACAATAATCAATCAAGTTAAAAATGACTCGGAATGAAAGAGTACATATATTTTATTATTTTTATTTTTGATTTACAGCTTGATTCCACACTGTATTTTTGGTACAAGTATGGAATTTTCAGCATGGATATCGGTAGCCCGAAAAGAGTTAATAACAATCCAGTGAAAAAATCACAGTTGTAAAGTTTTTTATATCTGCATCATAGTCATCATAAAGTCCATCAAACACTCTCTCCGTATCAGTTTGGTGTTGAACCAGTATTTGCAGTTTTCGTCACCACCAGATCTGTTCGCAGAAATTGGATGTGAACTTTTCAAGCAAAGACTGAGATTGCATTCCTTCGAATGCCTTCAGCCATACTGAGAAATATCTGAGGATGTATACATATCAGGTAAATTAATCTTACCTCTAGTGAGCAATTCCTAGTCTTAGCCAAACTGAATATGTGAACAAAGCAAGAAACAACCACAGAGTTGGTGAAATTCTGAAGGTCACTCGTCCATATATTCCACGATAGATTTCAGGAATTATGTAACTTCCAAACTACCTGTCACACTTTCTCTTCTATAAAAAGCAAATGTTATACACGTGACTCTTATCCATCCATTACAACTAACTGAAAGAGATAAAATCTTCAAACTTTATATTTCTTTGATTAAGTCACACATTAATATTCTCCTTGTGAGTGGATCTAATGCTTCTCACATCTGTAAAATTTATAAGCATGTTAACTTGTTCCCTTAAGCTAAAATATATAATGTCTATCCGCTTCTATTATTGCTGTTTCGAAGCCCGCCTCAGTAACGTAAGGCGCAACGTTCACGCAAAGGAAAATCTGCCAATCACAGCGTGCGTAAGTGACCTTCTAGTGCTCAGCCTCTCCATTAGCCATTTGGCAAAGTTCAACAATAGCGTCCCAAGGGATGCGAACGCACGAGTGACCTTCAACGAACCAGTCATAAAAATGAGGAATTTTTGCACAAAAAATGACGTTTATTCATAAGAAAATGCATGAAAACAGATTATCTTTCTCTGACATAGGTTAAAAATACGTGCCAGTTGTGATGAAGAGTATCAGTTGCTAAGTTGAACTAGTTTCTGTTGATGTATTCGCCGAAGTGACTGAAGATGTGCTGTTGTGTGAATCGTTCATCTCTCTTCCCTTGCTATGCAGTCCTCTCCAAAGCCCTCGGTTAAATTACTATGGTTTTAGTAAGAGGATCGACTGCTACATACAAGGAAAATGAGGATAATAAAACTGTATCACAATTACTGCTTTGGAATAAAGCTATTATCTTATCTATATTGAAATAAACGACAATAACCATAAATATATCCCTAATCGCAACCTTAACCTTAATCCTGACCCTAACCCCAATACTTAACGTAACCCTAATCCTAACCCTAACGAGATGTTAACACATTGTCCAAACAGTAATTAAAAGCGTGATCTGGGTGAAACTTGCTCCTTATTTGATGAATAGGGTTGATATTTCAGCTATGATCATGACAAATGCCGTTAGCCGACTAGCATGCGTTCAAGGTCATTGGAGCGTTCACACTCCTGGGTTGCTATTGCTGAACTTCACCAGCCATTTGTGCCGCTATCCTCTGTCGCCCGCCTCAGTAACGTGTCCTACGTATTAGCCGCAACGTTTACGCAAAGGAAACTCTACCAATCACAACATAAATAAGTGACCTTGAAGTGCTCAGCCTCTCCATAAGCGTGTGTGCCACTATCCTTTGCCTCTCCGGTCCAGGTCTTGGAAGAGAAGGCGGCAGTTCAAAAGAGGTGTAAGTAGAATCAGCCTACCTATGTTTTTCTTGGACTTTAGTGTCCCTCTTGTACTTTAATTATTATTGACTAACGTGTTCCGAACGTTTTCTGTGTTCCACCCCTCCTTCGTAGTTTTCTATAGTGTGATCCCTAATTGTCCATTACAATATATTGTTATATATAACTGGAGGTATTGATTACTGTGCAGTTCCCAAGCTTACTATGCTGCTGATTTAAATCTCTCTAATTCTAAACTAATTTTAACATTCTATAGTGAGTAAATTCTGAATCTGTCCTGAAATGGGTTCTTTAGCGGCATAGACCAGAACTCATTGCTGGTTTTCAGCATGACTGGGACTAATTCAGCACACTTTTCTTTCTCTAGGCATTTGTAAGAGTAGATCACAACCTACTGGGTTTACCTATCAACTTTTTGCAGCCCTCACAGGATATATTTATCACGGACTAGCGTCACTTCAGGGCGAAAAGACAATACAACACCCAGCTCTGAGGATCCTTTTAAGCACGACCAGCGTTATTTCAGAACATAGTGGGTAGATAAAATCTTCATTAGTCTTAAAAAGGCATTATTCGAAGAATAGGTTAGAATGAGGTTAGAATTGTCGTAAGCTCGGAACTACTCACATGATTATCTGTAATCTTTGTCAGATTCTCAATTTTTACGCATGCCTATTGAAATACAATGTACCAATGTTAGGGAATTACTTGTAAATAAGATAGGTTCCATTTAGGGGAGCTGCTGTGTATTCCTATTGATTACAACAGTGACACTTTGTTTACAAACTCGTTTGGACGGAGATGGGCAAATGCTGATTAAACAATAGCTAATATTAGAAAATATTGCCAGAACAATGGTTAAAGAAGTAGTTAAATAGTCGAAAATATTGGTTAAATAATAAGATATTACTCCAGTAACGGTAATTTTTTGTTAAATAATGGTCAAAACTGTATAATATTGGTTAGATATTTGTCAGAATTGGAAAAGTTATGTCATATAAGCAAAAGTCACCATATTTTCCTCACTGTTGCCCATGTTCATTCGCTTATTTTTGTCCAAATGGGTGCACCTATATTATTTTACTCCTGAGAAATCTGGTCATCCTTTCTATTTTCTATAGTGTACCCAGCTATGCGAAGTTGTTAAGTATCCTGATCTAAGGTGGTAACGTGCCACCATCCAGTAATGTGATGCCCCACACCGAACCTGTCTTATTTTACATGTTGTAGTAGTGGGCTACAGCAGTAAGGCTCAAAAATCGCATCGTAATCTTAACAAGCCGCATACCCCAAGGTTTTACTAAATGTGATGCACAAGGTCCCCTTAGCGTATATGTACGAGAAATTAATATTATGGGAGTTGGATGTTTAGTTACAAATGTGGTTTTAGGATGTTACCAATAATGACTGTTCACTCTGCGTTAGAGTATATCGGTTTTCAGATGCCAATGATCACAATGATTTTTATGGTTGGTCTGGGTTTTTCGAAAGAATGTCTGGCAATGCTCACTCGAGTCCCTGTGGTAGTAAAGTTTGCCCTTGGGGTTCAGCATCCGTGAAATTAGAGACCGATCCGTCTGCATTTACTGCCCATACCAGCTCTTGATACCGACGAGGATAATCCTGGACTGTGCCAAAACGGTCTGACTTGAAACTTTCTTGACGTGTACAGTGGTTCGGTATGTGAACCGTCTTGTTTTTCTTCAAACTCCTAAACTTACGGTACAATATATACGTAATATAAATCTTTTGATCTGATGAACAATATATCTGTTCTCATTACCTTTCATTTTTAATCAAAATTATTTCTTAATTCTATTAGTCTCTTTGTGTATTTTTTTTCCTTCACGTTCCCCAGTGGAACATAGGGCTTCAAGCTAGCGGCTTGAAGTTTCTGTAGCAGTGTTTATTTTTACAGGATGGGGTTTCTACCCTCATGCCCAGCCTTTCCTCCTTACCAGCATTATTTCTGGCTTAGCGTGGTAAAGGAGTGCATCGGTGGCCACGGATCGAACGCCAGACCATGTGCATGGTCGGCGAGCGTTCTAACCGCTGTACCACCAACGCACAACTTTGTGTATTAGGTTACTTCAAACTACTTTACCAAGCCTGAAAATTTACCCATTATCTTCAGGGTGCTTTTTACTGTTACGTTAGTCTTATTATTAACGGACCTTCATTGGCATTTCTATGACCATTTGAAACATTTCAACTGTACGACTTTAGTGATAGGCTACGGAAAGAATATCCTCTCCTGACTTATGCCATAGTTTGTGGATTTTGCATCCATATTGTTTTTTACAAAAATCCTGAAAGAATCATAAGTTTGTTTGTTCTTGTTTGGCGAACAAAAGCATGCGCCCAGGATCTCGATCTTGATGGTAACCCTCTATTTGAAAGCGTTTGGTGGTATAATATTAGCTTATTATCCTGCAAATGGAGTGAAAAATATTATAAAAGTATTACAACCGATGCCTGCTGAAAAGAATTGCTTGGTGCAGGGTTAAACAGATACCTGAATCTTTTCTTATAACTTATGACTATATCCTAACTATTGTGAATGATTGTCGACCTCATTAGGGGTCTAACTCAACATCAGGATGATCACGGTGAAACAATTAAAGTTTCCTCAACTAACAGTCATTTACTTCACGGATATCTCGTGGCCATGTATTGCAGTAGTTAAAGCTTGACTTTCAGCCAATAGGTCTCGGATTCGAATCCCAGTCTACTACTTCAGTCTGGGCAACTGATTGTTATCACTTGCTTTTGCACAAGTGCAGCTAGCAACATAGTACTTGTCAGTGTGTTCTAAGTGAACTAAGCTTAGGGATTGCTGCCATTTTGTGATCTGACTTCCTGATTCCTTCTCAACCTAATCTTACTTGAGCTACCATTCTATGTTAAGGAGGGTGGTGAATCACCGCAACTAACATACGTTGCAAGTGACTCAAATATTAGATGTTCACATTTCCATCGACTAACCGACTTTCCTTATGTCATTGAACTCATTTTCTTATTTTCTACCCTTAGTGGTCTAGCCAGTCAGGAAGTTCGATAAGTTGGACATCGAGTAACAGAATATCATGATATCTCCAAAGATGTAGCTAGTTGGCAAATGATAAACGAGCTTTCTGTACACGTCTTGAGATTTTGTTAACAACCAATGCACTAATTCTGATTTAAGTTGCTTAAATAAGTGAGGTGGTCAGTACATTCAACTAGTTCACTCTCTATTTAGATCAGGTGCTACAGAGTACTCTTGCACCATCTTGCACTTGACAGGCGAAAAAACATGGTATTTATATTCCGATTTGTAATCAGGGCGTTCAAAAGACTTCATTTTGAAATCATATTGTTAAAGTATGTGTTAAAATTTCTGAATTTATTTCTCCATTATGTTGTTATAGGATTACTCCATGCTTATTATTTGTACACACAATTAGTTGATCATGCCATTCTTATATAGCGCCTAATCCCCCTACTAAACATTTTACCTTCAGTTAATATACATTGAACAATTATCCTTTTGTGATGGTTTCTGGATCGCTGAGCAACTTCTCATCAGCAGTTAGCAAAACTGGAGGTAAGATATGAGGGAAATATTACTCATGTTTTAGGATGTATAAGTGCAATTTATGAACTCATGGAAAAATCTCAAGATTTTTTACTGAAAAATGTTCAAACATTGGACTCTATCTTTGAAGAATTCGATATTGAAAAATTTGGCATATTGCATGCAGCTATATTGTAAGTTATTAGATACTTCTAGTTTATATTAGACATGCCAAATATATTTCACAGACACCTACTGACAAAGAATGGATGATAATTCAAACTCAAAAGTTCTTTCATCTCTGTACTCCAGAGTCAATGCAAAAGGTTCCGTCATATGGTAGGTTCTTTGTTTGCTGTTTAATGTGCAGTTCGTGTAATTTCACATGAATTTACCAACTTTTTAATAAATATGGGAGCTGCACATAAAGGAATCGGATGCATACTGAATGGTATTCGAAAACTTCAGAAATCTCCAGAGTACCTTACTCCACTCCACTGTGATCTTTGTCAGGTAATAACATTTAAAAAAACACACATTTTGTAGCTTGCATTGGCTGCTAAAATGTTTAGCCCAACACTTTCAATACTAGATACAGATATACTGGAAATTGAAAGTGTATGTTTTGAAGGTTTAAATGATATTTTTGTTTAGAGTTCAGCTCTTGAATTAAATGATTACTTACTGTATTTTTACTACGGGGGAATGATTTATGGAGCGGTGAAAAATTGGCAGAGAAGCTTGCATTTTTTTGAATTGGTAAGATATTGTTTTACTCAAATCTAGTTTCAGTGTTTACTTGTTCCTGAATCCTCAACAAGCTGCATTGTAACTGAGGCCGTCAAAAAAATCATATTAATATCTCTTATTGTAAATGGGAAAGTAAGTTCCTGTGTTTTAATTTAATCGTTCACTTTTATTGCGAGCTTTTTAAGAGTGGTTCATAGTGTTTGTTTTTTAATCACTTGTAGGACAGGCGAACAGTGGAATTGTTATCAGCCTATTTCCTGTTAATATATGCACACTAAGTTGTTTCCCTTGTTGCAAAATAATTGTTTCTCATGAGCCAGTACTTATGGGTGCTCACCAGACGTTTTCAGTTGGAAATGATCACAATTACTGAAATTATTAACAGTTTTTTGATTAGAGACTAGTAGCTGTTATGACGTGTCAATCGCGAGCCTGAATAGCTCAGTGGTAACGTCTCTGACTGCAGCACTGGGTGACACGGATTCGAAACTCAGAAGGGACATGAGTTCATTCAAGGCTGCAGATACGCCGTGCTGATGAATGAAAACTAGCACGAAGCCTAGGTCCAAGACTTCCTCTTCAAACCATTTAATATTACTTACAGTTTCTTTGATATTTTGAATACACTGGAAGCAGTATTACAGAGAATTACTAACAATGCATTACAATGTAGTATTAATTTGTATGCTCATAACATTGACACAGCTATGGAAATGAATCAACAAAGTTACTACTTGTCAGTGTAATTTTTCGTTGATGGTTAATAATAAAGTTTGTTGAAAAGATTCATTAACTCCTCTAGAAGTGAATTTGCTTCACGAAATCGTTTAGATACGAATTTTTGTGTCATAATTTCGGTTGTATCAATAAGTTTTGTTTATTATGTGTGGTGTGTACTACTGATAAGATTTATAAGTGGTATATATATATATATATCAGTGACAAGAATATCGAATGATGGAGAGATGGGTTTCATAAACGATGCTTATGAAACAACATGGAAGACACGAAAGACAAAGAATAACGAAGATATATGCAAATTGCGATTCTAATATGTGGTAGGCATATTTAACTTGTATCTATTTATCGGGTTACCAATAAGTAATTTCGTTGCTCTATGCTCGTGTTGCTGTCTGCTGCTTTTGAAGGAGATATACGAATCTTCTTTCTATTTCTGAGTGGATAAGCGTTCATTATTGGACTACAACGACAGTTGCACTGGGGACGCTGCCGAGAAGTCGGGCAAAATCGAAGTACGACAGTGTGGAGCGGGCAGGTGGTAAGGAGACCTGGATGGTATTGCTGAGACGACTGGCGACGGAGTACGACAGCCCTAGAGACAAAGAGCAGGCAATACAGCAGTTCCGTGCCATGAAGCCGGATTGGACGGAGACCTGTTGGTATTGGCGGTGAAGTTTACAAATGTACTGGGTCATGTGCTGTCACAATTAATGAAGACGCGTTATTTAGCCTGCTAGCTTATCGATAGTGCTCCGGAACATATTTCTCAGAAATTAAAACTGGTCAACGCTTCACAACCAATAGAGATCGGTGAGCTCCCGAGCTCAAGCACATCCGTAGCCTCAATAGAGCCACCGGATTGGAACCAGTAGGAACAGCCAATCTCAGGTTTGGAGCGCGTAGTGGCACAACGAATGAGCGCTAGGGAAGATCAGTGCTTTCAGTGTGTTAAACCAGGACGCTGAAAGAAAAACTGTCCGGGAAGACGGAGAAAGAAAAAAATTAAGCAGTATAATATGTCCTTCTTCTCCGATAAGACTAGAAGTTGAAGAAGCGATAGAGAGGGAGGAACGCACCCTAAACTGCGTGTGAATTTCAAGGAATTACTACTTAAATATATATATATATATATATATATATATAATTGTAGAGCCAGAAGAGAAAATTATCGAAAAGAATATTCTTTGCCCAATTATTTTGTTTTTTATAGATGTCTGAATGAATATTTTCTCTAGAAATTAATATGTTTGTTAATCGCCTATTCGTCTGAGTACCAGGCTTCTAGGAGTTCTCTGGCACTTCTGGTGTTTCTTCTATTTAAAATTTCGACATTTTCCCAATCAAATTGGTGTCCGTAACTATCTACATGCATTGATATGAAAGAATATATATCATGTCTTTTTACAGAATCCAAAAACACAAATTAGCTATGAAAAGACACGATATATATTCTTTCATATCAATGCATGTAGATAATTATGGACACCAATTTGATTGGGATAATGTCGAAATTTTAAATAGAAGAAACACCAGAAGTGCCAGAGAATTCCTAGAAGCCTGGTACTCAGACGAATTGGCGATTAACAAACATATTAGTATAGACCAAATTTGCCAACTAATAAAAGGTAACTCCATTATGGATAAAATTTTATTTTGATAAGTCTCACAGTGTTACACAGTAATATTAACTGATAATGTTTCGAGCACAAATTATTGCTCATTATTTCTGAATGTACATTCCCCTATATTGGTTTTTATTTAAATATCTAGTCAATTCCACACATGTATATAAATGAAGGAAAAAGTTGTGTGAGTAACTTGATATGATTATGAGCAATCGTTTGTGCTTGAAACGTCATCAGTTAATATTACTGTGTGACTTGTCAAAATAAAATCTTATCCATAATGAAGTTATACTTTACCACAGTGCCCAAGTTTTATACTTATATCAATAAAAAGTAAATCATGTGACAAGAAAGTTCTAATTCGAAGTCAATAAAAAAATGATCAATACAGATGTAAATTGACTACCAGTCACGAAGATGGTAGCCAAGAGACACAATTATATCATTTACGGAGAAATTAAATCGGTTCATTTTATGCTAAAACTTGCGCTGAAGATGTTTTCCAGAAGGACGACTAAAGCTTCGCAATTAAACCAACCAGCTCAGAGAACGCAACTAACTGAAAATCACACAGTTTTGTACAGTAATATTTACTAATGACGTTTCGAGCACAAATTATCGCTCATAATCTTATCAAGGCACTCACACAACTTCCTTGATTCATTTATATACATGAGTTAAAATCGGTTAGGTATATGAATAAATTCAATATAAGATAAAGTACATTCAGAGAGATTGTAAGTGTTATCAGTAAAATAAATGTTATCCTTATGACATAGGATTAGGTTGGGAAAGATTCAAAAGTGGTCTAATCAAAACTTGGCAACCATCCATGAAGTCTTTGACTGGTGATTTGAGCCATTTAGTAAGATGTGGTTGGGGTCGTCGAGACTCTATGAACTAATGGCTGTCGAGTGTTGGAGACATGGCTCAAAATCATTGTCATTGTGTAGAGGTATTCACCCCTAATCATCTCCAACATATATAAAATCTTCATGATTCTCTTTGTAATTACATTTTCCTTTATTCTAGTTCTTTGGGTTTTTTCTGAGCGTTTATGACTGAGCGCGACAACTTGAACTGCTTTACTTCTATGTAAATTTTCGCGTTGGAACCTCAGTCAGTAATTCATCTAGCACAGGGACTTATCTAGATCTGCTTATTGCCTGGTTTTCAACTAGACTCGGACTTTTTACACCGAAAGCTGGAGTCATACCTGTAGTAACAGAAGGTGAACATACTAGATCCTTCACTGATTGACAATTATATTAAGGCGACTGATCACTTTTCTTTGGAATAGAAAACGAAGTGTTTTTTTTTACTAGTGATTCACCATTTGATGGCAATAGGTTTATCAAAGTAATATTAAACACTAAAATATATTGTGCGTCGGTGGCATAGCGGTTAGGATGCTCGCCGACCATGCACATGGTCTGGGGTTCGATTCCCGGCCGATGGACTCCTTTACCTAGCCAGAAACAATACTGGTAAAGAGGAAAGGTTGGGCATGAGGCTAGAAACCCCATCCTGTAAAAATAAACACTGCTACAGAAACTTTAAGCCGCTAGCTTGAAGCCCTATGTTCCACTGGGGAACGTGAAGGAAATAAAATATTTTGTATGACAATCAAAATTCTTTTGTGTGATATTCTGCAATGTCAACTGAGTGCGCACCAATGAAGATAACACAAATATGTATGGTAACAGGGAATTAAGAAACTATTTGTGCGCTTAGGTGAAGAAAAATGCTTATTATATTTGTCCTGATAATCTTAGATCGATGATGGGTGATAAATTCAGGTCTAATTCAGTCAGTCTGCGCACCATTCCTATTCCACACAATTTGTATCCTACTCTCCGTGAAGTGCTTCTTTGAACGAAATATTCCCATACTGAGTCATAAGAAAAGGCACAAACAGCGAAGAAAATTTTCTTTTCGACGATTCATTTTCATGAGCTGTACAATCGTAATTATAATTAAACACATAAGATTTTGACCAATCAGATACTGGTAAACTTTGTCCTTGAAAATTCTGCTACATAGTGTGAGGTGTAAGAAGGGATGACTAATTGTAAGTTAGAAAGGAGACAGAAGTTGGCATGACCTAATAAGTGTGAGATAATGACTAATCAATAAGCTAGTGTAGAGTGGACAGGAACTAGTGGAAAGGTTATACAGTAGTTTTGTATAAGATCTGTGTGAAAAAGCAATGTTATTAATAAACAGTCATAGAGTAGTAATAAAATATGGATGGTGGGAATAGTAATAATAATAAAAGTATTAAGAACAGTAATAATAATAATAATAACAGTGAACTTACGTATTAAAGGAGAGGAGAAAAATTATAGTTAGAAATCTACTCTGGCCATGGTAGGGCTAGAGAATGTATGTATCGTTTTTGTATGCATAGGTCCGGTTTTATGTCACGAATAGCTAGTGCCTCGGCTATGTACAGATGTCGTATCCGGAGTCCTTTTGTACGATATTGAGGGACTCTGTGTACCACTGTGAAGCTTTCGTGTGGGGGTGCTCGATGTCCGGAGATAACAAGGTGTTCGAGGATTGAGCTGTTGGTATTCTTCTTTCCTCCTCTGGCTAACCAAGCTGGGCAGTGTTCCAGGATACGTTTGTGGACTTGACGTTGCGTACGGCCGATATACTTTGCTCCGCAGGAGCAAGTGAATTGATAAATACACATTGAAGTGGCCAAAGGCGGTATCTTGTCCTTAACGTTAGACTGGATTAACTGTCTGCAGGAGAATGTTATATGTAGAGTGGCTGTTGGGAATGTCTTCTTCAGACTTTTTGAAAGGCGGCTTCTGAGGATTTCCGCTGCGATGTCACCTTTGAATTCTAGGTTCATGAAGAGAGTCTTCTTAGGAACCGTTGTGATATTTGGCACCGGGGGCTTCTCCTTCATGTTTTTGTCGATGAATCTTGGCGGATACCCATTCTCTAGTAGTGCTTCTTTATCAAAAACTCATCATGATTTTTAAAATATTTCTATTACCTCAGGCTCTTCACTTGTGTTTACTCACATTTCTGTTTCTAATGTTTTTTTAACGGTTTTAGTTCAGTATGGTCCCTGAGGAGCCCGTTATGCTTTTTGCATCACCGAGACCATGGAAAGTAAGTATTGTCTTCCGTTTATTCTTTGACTGTTCCGGTGAAAATTATTTGTATGCAATTACCTTACATTACTGACAAAAATGCACCGTTTAGTATCTTCAAGAAACAGAACGGTCGGATCATACATTATGAATTCTGAGATCTCAACCTTGGTATCTGAAGTGCTTTATTTACATGTAAAAGTATTTCGTTACCCCATTCATTCACTTCATCCCACGGATTTCAATTAAACAAGAACAAAGAATATCCTTTTCAATAATTTCTCTTCAGGTTCTTACAGTTATAAAATATAATATTTGTTGTCGTTACAATAAAGGCCAGTTATGCGAAGTCTTTATCACGTACAGTTCGCTTACGTCTCCTACACATAGCTGAAGCTGTTGCAATAAGATCGACTAAACCGGAACTTTGTATCCAAAAACAACGCTTTCAGACGCTGTTCCTACCGTGGCCAAACTTGGATTGATGATTCTTCTTCTCACCAAGAGTGCTCCTTCCCCTTAACCGTCTTGGTTTTTTTCCTTTATTATTAGTACTCGTCATAATTTATGCCCTTCATGCAAACACTCCCTCAATACTATCGAATTTTTCATTTAGACTATCTGAACTTATTATTAGTGATATTATCTCTTTTCTCTATATATGCCTCCACCTGTTTTATTTCACGTATTCGTTATTTCATTATGAACCTGTCATTGTTGTCTTACTATCTCCTGTGTAACACAGACCACTTTGTACTAGCCACTCACCTGACATCTTTCATAACCTTGGAGTGACTTGTCAATTTTCCTACCCCGTACTCTACCAATCTATTATGACTAATCACCACCACTGTCTCCCATTTTACAATGTTTTGTGACTGATTTCAGCCTAGCACGTTTGTCACACAAATACTACTGTTTATTTTGACACCCCATAACTGATCTCTTATTCTACGTAAAAAAATGTATCCACTGCATAACTGGCCATTATTGTAACGACCACAAATATTTTATTTTATAATTGTAAGAACCTGCAGAGAAATTATTGAAAAGAATATTCTTCGTTCAGATTGACTTTTAAACAAGAACGATTGTCTTTACTGAATACAATAAATCCATTACACCTGGTTACGTTCCCCTTGGGTGTGTCTCAGTCGAAGAGGTTAATAGATGTTTTGTTTTTGTTCTGGATAATCGAAATAGCCGATTGTTTGCAGATCAACGCCGTCGGTTCTCTGTGACTGAACAGTGACTATTTTCAAAGATGAATTGAATACATACCACAGAATTGAACTTCTAACTGACTGTTTATACATTTTCAAGAATGTGATAGATAATGAATTTACACAATAATATAACACTTGATATAATGTGGTTGTTAACCCCACCAAAGCAGTGCGTAAGTAAAGGTAAACATAAACCAAATGATTCTGCATTGTAAGCTTAATTCATTGAAAGAGAGTGATCAGAATTTTGTGAATGACGGCTTCATATGTCCCATCGTTAATTGTATTGCTGTTTCAATCATTAATTCTCATCAAGTCGGCTTAGTGGTTATCGGCTACGCTGATTGACTCCATATTGTTCAGTGAAGAAGATAATGATTAACAGATTTTGTAATATCCTATAGAATAAGAGGAAAATTAATAACAACCAATAAGTGCTTGTAAATAAGTTACAGTAAAATTACACATACTATCATATTTACTGCTTAAGTTGTTTTATCAGTATATATATTTATGTCAGTGGTTTTGTGTTTTCATTTCAGTGTCACTGTCAACCGTACTTGGAACTAGCTACAACATTTCGATCTGATAATCCTGAAGATTTAATACATCTTGTTAATCTTAATCGTGAGACATTTGTGGCAGTAAGTCGTGTTATATTTCTTACTAAAATATTAGTTAACTCTGGGTACTGCAACTTTTTTCATATTATAAATATAAATTTTACGATGGCAGCGTGCTAGTAGTTCTTTGGACTACCTAAAAATACTATTTTCCATTAACTCATATACTGCTTTGATTTGCTGCCTTATTATCGAAATGCTGGTGTTTAAGCTATATGGGAAACTTGTTGGCTTCACCAGGAGTATGGCGGTAATCTAATTTCAGTAAATGGATATACAGTTTCGTGGCAGGACAGATATAATTTAAAGAATAAGCATGATAGGGGAGGGGTAGTCACTTTTATCAATACAAAGTGTTCTACCTCTAATCATGTGTGTTTTTACTCCTGCAATGACAATAAAGACTATCACTGGTCGCTGTCGTCCAAAGCATCTAAACAAATATTCCTTAAATACATACATGATAAATGTTCAAATAACTGCAGACTGCAGATATATCTATCTTTGCAGATGAATCGACGGAATTCGCTGTTCCTTTTTTGGGAATTCCTTGTTCAAAGTCCCTTGGGGCTTTAGTTCATGTGATCACGGTTTTCTCAAGTCACTTGATCATGCGAATCTTATCACATTAAGATAAGATAAGCTTTATTCCAAATCAGTACTTGTGATACAGAATGGAATTCTCAGCATTTTACTACAATATTGCATCCAGTTAGTACATTAACAATAAATATAGTTCTACATAGATTAAGGTTATCTCAGTCAGTTTTGACAACAACATATTAGCATGTCGGTAGCAAAGCCAAAATTTAAACAGAGTGTTTGAAGGTGTTAGAAAAGTAGATACTACTAGCATATTTACTGGCGTAAGCGATAGCAAAATGGTCGAGGTATACAGAGTGTGAAAGAACGAACAAGAATGTTTTAAGTAGAGTTTGTAAGGAAGAGAGAAACAAAACAGCACATAACAAAAATAAATACAGAAAGAAAAAAAAGGTAGAGAGAAAACGTTGTACCTGTAAATGATGTGAGTTGGAAAGACGAGATCCATTTGTTCTACTGACTATTTAATAAGTTAAAGGTTTCACGCCTAATGCTTTCTTTATCGCACAGAACACGAGCTAGGTAGGGTATGGATGAGTTTTTGTACTTGCTAGTGCGGGCATATAGTTTCCTATATAGGCTTCTGGTTTTCCCTGAAGAGATACATGGGGAGAGTTGTGAATGTAGAGGGTGTTGTGAGTCAGATAAAATGGATTTTGCCCATTTTTCACATGAGTCCATGTGCCTGTCCACCAGAATATTAACAAGCTGGCTAAGTGGCAAACTGCTTACCCTGCTGACAACCTTTAACATCCTACGTAATAAGGTATAGTCTTTCTTCAATAGCCCAGGAAAGACTAAGGGGGAACAATAGAGAATAATAGGCAGAATACGGAAGTTAACAAATTGTAGGAGTAAGGGTTGGGTTACACCAGAAAGTCTTAACTTCTTGATGTAGAAGGTAAGACGGAATATTTTCTTGGAAATCGTCAAGATATGAGACGACCAGGAAAGATCAGAAGATAGAGTGACGCCTAGGTATTTAACTTCCGACTTGGTTTCAATTTCAGTGCCATCTATGTTGCACATCTCGTGAGTCCTAACCAGTTTGTTTAGGTCAGATTTGTGCCTAAAGGTGAAATTAACTGTTTGGCATTTGGAGGGGTTTAAGGTGAGACCGTTTTCCTTGGACCATTGGCTGATTTCTGATAAGAAGCCATTTAGTTTAGAGCAGTCACTTTGACATTTGACAGGTAAAGATACAGTTAGGTCATCAGCATATTTGACAAAGTTAATGTCATTTGAAGATGGTAGGTCATGTAGGAAGAATGAAAAGAGAAGTGGGGAGAGTACAGCACCTTGGGGGACACCAGCTTCAGTGAGCACAGCAGAGGAGGATTCGCCTTTGTATACGGTGTACTGCGTTCTGTTTGAAAAGTAGGAATGCAACCAGTTAGTGACCCAGGACTCGGTTTGTGTCATGGAGAGCTTATTTAGCAAGAGACATCTAGGTACAGAGTCGAAAGCAGAAGTGAAGTCAAGAAACGTGCAGCGGACATATTTGGCACCTTTGTCTAATGATGAGACAATACTGTTGTGTAAGACGGCTGCAGCGTCTAAAGTACTCCTACCCTGTCTGTAGGCAAATTGTTTGGGGTCTTCGAAGCTTTTAAGGGAGGGTTCAAGTTTAAGAAGTACTAGTTTTTCCATGAGCTTTAGAAACGGGGAAGTGATGGCAATGGGTCTGAACTTTACGTTCTTGCTATTGCCAGGTTTAGGGACAGGGACTATTTTAATGTCTTTACATGGAACAGGTACAACGTTTTCGGAGAAAGAAGCGTTTAGGATATTAGTTAGAGGAGAGCATAAAGCATCTGCACATTGTTTTAGAACATATGCAGGTATGCCATCAGGGCCAAGACTGTGTGAGGGCTTAAGAGTTTTAAGACATTTCAAAACATCGAGAGTACTAAAGTCCTGGAAGTTCAATACTCGTCTGGACAAAACCCTAGACTAAGTTTTCCTAAACTATTATGATATATACGAGGCGCAAAGGAGAGAGTTTCAGTGCTGAATTCTAACCATTTCATCATTCTTATGTTACCGAAAGTGTTATAGCAAGTCACACAAAAGGCTTTTTGTCCACCTAAAAAATAAAATCCAAGAACAATCCTATTCACATGAGAATATTCTTGCACTAAAGTGCATGTTGCGTGATACTGACTGAGATCTATTCGTTGATGAAATGTTGGATGCTACGGCCTCTAATATCACCTTTTATCTTAAGCTCTGCCTGAACATTTGTTGTTCTACTGAAACACTGTTTACAAGATTTGATAGGATCCCTTCCTCACAACTAAAAAAACTTATATAAGAAAAGGAGAATTTGTATAAATTACATGATAATGCTGGTGTTCGAAGAATAAACTCTGATAAGGTTTGAAATAGAAAGACTAAATGGCGTATATAGTGAAAATTTTGCTTCCAACATCTGGAGACTTTTTAATCAGCTTACAAGCAAAACTCAAATTCCAGTTGATGCTTATTCTGATATAAATGCCTTAAATAAATCTTTTATAGTACAGCAACCTAATGTAGTTAAACCTAATGTTTCTAGTCATGTAAACGATTATTTTCCTGGTTTTAATGAAACGTATGCACTGTCAAAGGCTATATGACGATGCCACGTATCAGGTGATCCACATCGGGGAACTTAGCAAGGCGTCCGAAGTGAATACAGGAGTAAGACAAGGCATCCTACTGTCACGCATGATGATATTCTCAATTCTGGTGGACTTGATTATGCATTAGACTGTGAGTAGTGGGGAGTGAGAAGACAGGAATACGTTGGACCAATCGATAAGAAGGCTCTAGTAGATCTAGATTTCGCAGATGATTTATGTTTAATGTCACACAATCTCAAAGAGTTACAGGCGGGAAGCGACAATCTGGCTGAAGGGGCTGATGACGAAGACAGGACCCCAGGTGAACATAGAGAAGACGGAGGTGATGAAGATATCCAACCAACCAACAGCACCAACGGGGGAGATTTAACAGACGTCACTTCCTTCACTTATCTAGGAAGCATCGTTTCAACCACAGGCGGGACGGATGAAGATGTCAAAGTCAAAATCGGAAAGGCAAGATATGCCATCATCAACCTAAAGCCAGTTTGGAAATCTTTTGCATTCCGCCTCGACATAAATAAGAAGATTCGGCTTTTCAACACAAATGTGAAATCAGTCACTTCTTCTATATGGGTCAAAAACTTGCACTGTACTTCACGAAAAGCACTTACAGCAGGCTACTACACTATTTTTTAACAGCTGCCTTCGCTTCATACTGAAGATTAAATGGCCAGAATGAATGAGTAACAAGAAACTGTGGGAACAAACCAACCAAGAGCCGATCGCTCAACAAATATGTAGGAGAAAATGGAGATGGATCGGGGATACATTAAGCAAACCGTCGAGTGACATCACACGCCGGGCCCTCGAGTGGAATCCAGGTGGGAAGTGACGAGTGGGTTGTCGGCGCGAGGGTGACATGGAGGAGATCATGTGAGCTGCAGAAGAGGAGATGAAAGATTATGGGCAGTCGTGGACCCAGATGAAGAGGACTGCAGAAAATAGAAGAAAGTGGAGATGTGTTGTTGAAGCCCTATGCTCCGTTCGGAACCCAAGGGAATAATAAATAATGTACTCTCATGTGTCAAATCCTTAAATCCACCACACTGCCTAGGTCCTGATAGTGTAGTTAGCATTTTTCTTCAATATATATATATATATATATATATATATATATATATATATATATAATTAACCATAGGATCTATAACTACTTAGTTGATTAAGATATTTCCACAACAAGAGGAAGGAAAAATTTGGTGTTCTGTAGGCGTCCCAAAAATAGTGTGCATTTATATTAAAAAAGGATCAATATAACAGTAGACTTCCGGGTTGGGGCCCTCGGGACTCTAGGAATCAATGGCTGGAGACAATAGGTGAAATGGCTCAAAATCGTTGTCAATGGCGCAGATGTATTCAGTCTCTGTAATCTTTCATATTCCTTTCTACAATTACCCATTCTGTTTCACTCTTATACTTGTCAGACTGTATTGATTCTCTTCACTCATCTTCTTGTCTACCTTTGTGTGTGTGGTATTTGGAACGTGGCAACTCGAACTGCTGCACTTCGGTGCGAAGTTTTATGTTGAATCCAGACAGATAGACAGTTATTTGTAGTCTCTTTGCTTTTAAGCTGACTTGTAATATGATATAGTTTCAAGGAACAACCCTTACCCCCCCCCACACACACACACACCATAGGACATACTATTATGGTAAACACTGTATAGAAGTAAGTCTAAAATTCTTATTTTGATAAATGGTCACAGAGACTGTGAAGATGTTTAATTGATTAGCGGTGTGGCCTCACTGTTGTCTATCTTTCAAGTAGTAGAGATTACCTATTTTTAGTATCAATTCATCGAGGATTCAATAGTTGAATATAATTTTAGTAATCAAAGATATTGCATTCAAATGCTGCATGACATGTCACAGTTATTGTGCGGAGTGATAAAACCAACCAGTTCAAAGAAGTACGCCATCATTCTCGCCAGGAAGAACTTTAAATGAAACTTAAACTGTGGCGTGTCCTTAAGGGAAAAATTTCGCCTTATTCAAAAACACTCTTCACAGTGACACTAACAGTAGTTTGTTCTCCAATCGTCTACTTGTCTGTGAAAGCCTGAAAAGTCGGATGTCGCATCCGACCACTTCTGTGTACACATATCAGTGTACTTCTTCCTTGAGGGTTAGATATGTTGGTTACTCAATTCATCTCCTGTCTCAAAGGATTCAAGAGAGCCATCCGGCATGATCAGAAAAAGGCAGCGGTGGCTTAATAGGTAGTACGATAATTGGACACTGGCCACTCTATCTCAACAAACTTCTCTTTTAAGGTCAACTTCAAAGTGAAGATCAAACAGCCAAATAATACAATAATAATAACTTTATTCTAGACACACACTGCAGAATTTTCGGCGTATTTAAATTGCAAAATATATCTTCGTACAGAATATCAAGCAAAGTGGTATTCTGCAGTACATTATGTGACACTGTTGTGTTCCATCTGAAGCAGCATCCAATTCTCTACGATATCTTCCCCCTCCCCCCAGTTTTCTTTGCGAAGTTCTCTGCATTACGTTGACAACAAACTAGTGATGTACTCCAGTTCATGTAGCGATCCAAAAGCAAAATAATGTGATTTTCCCTTCACGTTCCCCAGTGGGACATAGGGCTTCAAGCTAGTGGCTTAAAGTTTCTGTAGCAGTGTTTATTTTTACAGGATGGGGTTGCTAGCCTCATGCCCAAACTTTCCTCTTTACCAGCATTATTTGTGCCTTAGCGAGGTAAAGGAGTGAGTCGGCCGGGATTCGGACCCTACATCATTTGCTTGGTCGGTGATTAAAACAATAAAACTAGAGAAGACTTTGGGCATTACACTGAGTGAAAATTTAGGAAATCAAGTGTTTTGAAGAGATCCTTGTCAGTATGTTTTCGCTTCCTTCGCATCGCTGAGGCTCTAGAAACTGGAGCTCTGTACACGAAAGAGAATTATTCAACCACTTTTAGTATCATGACAATCACTCTACTGCTTTCTAACAACTTGATTTTGTGTTTTTTCAAACCGTTTTTAACTCTTCTATTTCTTTTGAACTTTCACCTAATGTCATATATCCTCTTGTTATTACATGCATCCTGATAAAGACTCAGTCACTGAATTAGCTGTTCAGTTCATTCTGTTGCGTAACTCTAACAACCTTATTCAGCTTCTATGTATTGGTTGACATTAGCAAATGTGTTTATGACAACTCATCTCATTAGTTTTCGTTTTCCTTTCCTCGTTACTATTACACTATTATTCTCTTCTTCTATTACACACTAATTTTATATTTCATATACTGTGATGCATTGTTTAAAATGTAAACGCAATGCTATTCATTTTATTTATCTTTTTTTGGCTGTTGCTTTTTGATTTTAAAATCTTATAAAATTTATGAGGTAATCAGATGCAATATATTGTAATGCACACTGAAAATTCCATACCTGTACCACAAATACTGTTTGGAATAAAGCTGCTATTATTATTATTAAAAATTGTCTATAAATGCATGGTGCACCTAAAGAAAACGAATTTGCCGGAAAAAGCCTCTTTTTGCTGAAGTTCCTTTTTCCATTATTCCCTGTATTGGGGATTACTCATGAATGAGAAGTATGTAAATCTTCCTTAGGAAATTGTTCAGTTTAAATGGAATAATGCCGACTAATTCACTACATGTTAGCTCTCTAGAAGCTGTGAAGTTTCACCAATGGCAGAATAATCATGATCCTCGTAAACAAACACAAATAGCCATTGCCATTTTTCTAAAAATTTTTATTGTCAATATATGAACGCGTATAACAACTATGGTATTTTTAATTATTAGCCGTTGTCATTTTAATTTGATGTTTTTTTTTAAAAAATTTACAGGATTACAACTTTGGATTGGTCAAACAAGTTGTCAAATGCCATGTGCAGTTTCGCATCCAAAGTCTAACAAAGGTAGAATGTCTGTATTTGTGTATTCATAATGAATTACATAAACTAAAATAGGGCAAGTATGCATATAAACAACACAACGTTGACCGAATCTAGACCGATATGCAAAAAGGCAGGATAGTCTAAGTTACTACTTGTACCACACCTTCAGAAATCATCCACTACAGTTCAGAAAGCAATAATATATATATATTATATATATATATATATATATATATATATATAGTGAGGAAAAAGAATTGTTTCCTCTAATTTCACCTTGGTAATGTTTATTGGATAGTTCCCGATGGTTGCAGAGTGACAAGAATGTGAAGAGCGCATCTGTGAAACATCACTAATAGTGGTAAAAACGCAAGATTTGTAGTTGCTTGGTTGTCGACCACTCTGGATTCTGGAGTTTTAGGGATGATCTTTCCTGTTGTCCCTTCCCAGAGCGGAAAGGTAACTTGCCGGTTATCTAATGAAGAAGACACTTTACTACTGACACCACCATTCGCCAGTGGTGGAGACTTAGCAATCAGGCTATCAGCATAAAGTAAGCAATGTACACCACGATCGTAATGCATTTAGTTCAACCACTATCCAAGCAAGTTTTTTTATCATCGGAATATGAAAGCTGAACTACGATGTGTAAAGGTAGCAGTCCTCGATCGGGGCTCTGACACTTGCAAGAAGCGTCGAAGACAGGTATGATTAAACACGCAAAGTCCCCTAAACTCCTCAGTCTGAACTGATGTATAAAAGTGCTCACAGTGAAGTGTTGTGAACCCTATGACTCAAAGTGGCGTAGACTACAGTGTTTCATGATACACAATCATTTATGTTTCATCTGTCATATGTCCACTAACAGTCATACTGACAGAGAGTGTACCATCAATGTGGAACGAAGCCATTATCGTCCCCATCTTTAAAAAGGGTCGACGTAATTCGTGCGACAATCATAGGGGTATCAGTCTGTTACCAGTCGCGTCTAAAATATTGGCTGCTGTCTTGCTTCGCAGACTGTGCAAAATACGTGAAGGATTGATTCGCGAAGAGCAGGCTGGACTTCGTTCAGGTCGTGGATGCATTGATCATGTGTTCACCCTTCGTCAGTTGTCGGAACACCACCACACGTATTGCAGGCCAACGATCGTTGCGCTTCTTGATATTAGGGCTGCCTGCGATTCGTTGGACAGAACTGTGCTCTGGAACTGTCTGTTAGAGAGAGGTGTACCTGAGAAATTTGTTAACATCTTGAAAGCCCTATACAGAAACACCTCAGGTAGAGTGAGGGCATACAACCAACTATCACCACTGTTCCCAACCAACAGTGGGGTTAGACAGGGTTGCCCGATCTCTCCATTTCTCTTTAACTTTGCCATGGATGACATTCTGGAGTCAGCTCTGAAGGATGTGTGTGAAGGTGGTGTAGATCTGCTACCTGGAGATAGACTTTTCGACCTCGAGTATGCAGACGATATCGTCTTACTGTGCGATAGCACGCAGGCTGCCCAAATCGCACTTAATCAGTTGGCGATCAGTGTCTGTAAGTATGGTATTTGCTTTGCGCCGTCTAAGTGCAAAGTACTGTTACAAGATTGGCAGGAGCCTGTACCGGCACTCACTCTTGCGGGTGAACCGCTTGAAGTTGTTGATAAGTTTGTGTACCTGGGTAGTTGTGTGAGTGCTGGCGGAGGGGTGACGAATGAGATTTCCAACCGTATAATGAAAGGCTAGGGTGGCATACATCACCTTGAGCCACCTCTGGCGCCGTCGCAACGTCAGCCTGGCTGTCAAAGGTCGGGTATACAATGCTTCGGTGTGGGCTGCGCTGCTCTACGCCTGTGAAACCTGGCCTCTCCGAGCTGAGGATGTGCGGCGACTCTGCGTGTTCGGTCACAGCTGTCTCCGCAGGATTGCTTGCGTTCGATGGCATCATCGCGTGAGTAATTCTGAGGTTCAGCGGCGTGTGTTTGAACACAGTGGAGATCACCATTCATTGAATGTCGTCATCTGGAAACACCGGCTCCGGTGGCTTGGACATGTGCTGCAAATGTCACCCCAGAGGCTTCCGTACAGGTCTCTGTTCGCTAGCCCTGCGACGGGATGGAAAAGGCGTAGGAGTGGTCAGTCCATGACGTGGCGTCGTGGGATGATGGATTTTTGTGTTAGATTAGCATCGGTTGATGTGTCACGACTCCCTGGTTGGGGTCCGAGAGATAGCTCAAATCGATGGCTCGAAACGTTATCGGATATGGCCAAGAATCGTAATCAGTGGCGAATGTGTTTCAATTTCCTTCTTTCTTCCCTTCCCGATGGTAGTTAACGAACACTGTTTGAACTTGTTAAGCATGAGTGTTTTCCTTCCAGATGAAGTTCTTTATCCGTTCTCTACTTATATATATATTTTTCTTTTCCTTCCTTCCTTCCTTTTTACTTCTTTTTGATCTATGTTGTTTTATTATTATTGTGTGGCGCATCCTTCTTGGTGCCATATTGTACCAAGTTTTTTATGCGTTTAAATAAAATAAAAAGAAGAAACGTTTAACTGTTCACCAGCGAACGTCAGTGTGGACAACTTACTACAGACCAGTTATGTCAGTGAAAGGGTTACTTAATTGTTGTTAGGAATCATTTAGTGAACTCTTCATTATATAACAGTGGTCCTGAGAAGTTAGATGTCAGTCGTCCGAAACTTTTGACAGTATGGCTCAGTATCGTTCACGAAAGCTCGTATGTATTTTCTTCTACCAGATAACTGAAAGGATCAGTAATCTTCATTCCATTGTTCCTCTGCATCACACTTATTTTTGTTCACTGCACACTACCTTCACTGTTTGTTTCCTCATTAGTGGGGACTTGAATTAATCTCTTTTTTGTGTAAACTCGTACACTGATCTGTCTAGTAGTGTTTCTCTTGTTCGATAAATTCATTTTAATTTATTCTACAACGTGTTAACGGGTATTTATTACCAAACTAACAATCCGTTTATTGACATTTTGTTACACATTAGCGTAAACAAATTTCGATCTATGCAGTCTATACCCTTTACTTCTATGATACTATGACTCAATCATTTTAATACTTTGTGTTACTTTTATCTCCTAACTTGTATTACATAAGATTATCTGTGGATGTTCATATCTCGTACCCTAGTGAAAGATTTTCCCAAGGCCATTTGCATTCATTGACTGTTGTCCTGTTTGCAAACTTAGCACCTTTTCAAGTTCTGTCGGTGCACACAGTACTTTCAATATTGTTTATTAAGTAATGTGTATTCCCATATATTTGGTTTTTTAAAATTTCATTTTAGACTTTTATGACGCTGTCTCTTATTGATGTTGTCACGCGTGCAAAGCTTTCTGCGACACACGAAGCCGAAAAGTTCATATTGGATATGGTATGTAGAATTTTACTGGTTCATTTAATAATTCCGTCAATCGTTCATGACTCTTAAATGAGTTTATGGCATCAAATTTGAGCACATTATGGTGACAAAGTAACCATTTGATTTAGAAACACTTAAATTACAGTTTTGTATTTGTTCTTTGGAATTCGTTTCTTGAAAATTCGATGTCTACGAATGTTTAAATCTACGTGAGATCATATTAAGTCTGGCTTTTCTTCAAAGGGTGGTAATATCGTTGAAGTCGGAGAATAATCACTCAAGCGAATAAACAACTCAATCAACCTCAAAACAACCATTACCAGCCAATCTGGCCAATTTAGTCAAAGAAAACAGTATATCCATCAAGAAATGTTTGCCAAAGTTGTGATAGGATCGAACTAATAAAATTTCGCACGACCCCCTCCGTCAATTTCTCATGGGAGTGTCGATATCCATCTAAATGACCATATCTTATTGATTATATAAAGCATCGGATCAGAAATTATTCGATCTAAGGCATTTGTCGAGATGTTATTTTTTCTCTTAATAATAAACTTGATTTAGCTCTTGCAACTTCACCACTAGCTACGCGAGCACTGATTGGCCGTTCCAATGTCATTCAAACAATTATCCGATCGGGCTGCTCCTAAGTAACTTCTCAATCATAACTTCACGATCGTAAGCGGTGCATATAGTGAGAACATACTATATCTGACTCATGTAGTGAATTAATCTAAATTTCAAGACAGGTAGTGAACGGCATTTATATTCTTTGAGATAGATCTTGTTTAGTTCCTGAATGCATCACTTTTAAAAAAAGCTTTCATTAACGAACTGGTGATGAATGCATGTTGTGCTTGTAAAACACAAGTTAACATGTAACGGGAAATGACAAGAGGCTTGATAACTGTCTTTTTGTTTATGGAAAGACATTTTTAATAACACTGCAGGTCATCGGACAATGAACTGTTCTGATTGTTTATCGATTTGCCGAATATTAAACCTATCAGCAAAAGGTTGTCGAATGAGATTATTTCCTGACCACATCAAAAACTAAATTGAGGAATAAAAACTACTACTGAAAGGAGGAAAAAATCGATGAGGCTCGAAGGAATGTTTATTAGGAAAAAACTGATTGTAGGTACATAAATTTGGTATACCATATCTCCAATGCTTTATTTGCGCATCTTTTGGTCGAATATCACCACATCCAACAGCTTGTTGAGTTCTGCACAGTGATTCTAACGTCTTTTTCACAGTCCTGTTCTTCCATCGCTTTTCCAGTATCGGAAACATATTGTTGCTTTTCTTAACTCGTTCACTGATATACTACTTATATGTGATTACAAGTAGCACTCACCACACCACTTTTGCAGTCACCGACTGCAAATGTTTTCAATTTCGGCTTCTTCCTAGCAGTCTGCGTCTATATACTGCTGATATATCTCGTGAGTAGCATACGCCACAAACACACTTAGAATCAGCAGAGTCAATCAAACTTCGAACAGAAATTAATTAATGTTTTTATGACGTAATGTGGGAGGAAGAGAGGCAATAAGGTATCGTAAATATTTGGAATGCAGCTTTTGAGGTCTCATTGATTCAGTCGCCTTGTTTACCTAACTCTTAACGCATCACTTCGCTAGTATTAATATAAGCCTAAATAATTGGTAGCTATTGACTGTGGGTGAGGTCTTTTCCATTTCCTTCACTTTGATTACCACCACTGTTGGCTATCGTTTCGAGCATCTGCGTAGTTATTCCTCCTCAAATTCTTAAACTGAGGCGATCAGTCTCTTTCCCTCATACACCATGAAAAGGCAGAATTCCATCATTTTTCCCGACGTTTGGCCACAAGTTGTTAGCAGTCTTAACTGGATATGATACCAAACTTCAAATGTGTTCATAGTTATTTCCTCTCAAAATGCGAAATTCTTATTAGGCAGCTGGATACATTAAGATTTAGACAAACATGTGCAACGAGTGGTGTGCGGAATGAGTTCATGAAAGCTTTAAAAAGGAGTTCTAATCCCCCACTACCCTTATCCATCGCTTACGTATAGCTCGAGGTTACATTTGTGCTTGTCGTTGGTTTGATGGGGATGACCTTTTGGATAAGACGTCAGTCCATATGTTTGAAGGAACAGAATTGTTGCAGATGGTCATCATTGGTAGTTGGTCGAAATGAGACTATCGAAACTTCCAGTATAGCTTTCTGACTGCCTCAATCTTCATATTTCAAAATAAAAATGCCCTCTGTGACCTTATCCGAACGTTTTGTTTTTAGCAGCAAAATATGCATCGCTTTTTTATGGAAGCTAACCTACGATGAAGTATTCTTCTGATTGTTTTACTCTAAACTTTTCTATAGATCAAATCAAAGTCTATTCTTGCAAGTATTAATCAGCAAAGCGGAACTGTTCACTTTCTCGATGATCCTGAACATTACGATTCAGCTGAAATGCTCCGGATCCTTCAAGATAAGGTAAGTGTATAAAATAAAATTATTATTAATTTATCTATAAGGAAATCTGCCTGTCAGATAATAATGCTAACTAATGTTAGGACTATGTTTATGATATGCTTTCTCATACATACATACACTAGAAAATATCCAATTTCCAGTTTGGCTCATTTTTTCGCGAATTTGTACGGTAGATTGCACAGATTTTCGCGACGCTTAATTTTCCGTTCGTAATTCCTCCGTAAGTTAAGTTTGTCGTCATAAGTTAGAACTTCGGGTACAACTGGTAATCAAATACACTATGATCTATGTATGGAAGATGCAACTATGCTAAAATACCATACCAAGAGAATCATATGGATGATGTTAAGAGTAAGACCTCTTTCTTTGTACTTTAAGTTAGAAAAGCCTCAAGGAACCTCAAACGAGAGGAAAGCAGAACTTATTGACCGGTTTATAGGACTGCTAGTTAATTCTGCCGAAATTTTCCCTGCAGTTAAGTTGGTGGTTATGACTACTATCCGTATCACCAGTTATTTTTAAAGAAAGGAGAAACCCCTCTTGTGTTAACCAAAGAAAGTCTTAGTATCTCAATTCTAACAGCAATAACCACGAAGAGGTTGATTTCAAATCTGATCGCAAGTGCAGGTTCGGTAAGATAGATACCCACCTCTAAGTTATACTTCTTGACCTGAGCATTTATGATTGTGATACTGAAAAGAAAATGCTGAAAGAATGCAAGACACTTGAATAAAGTCTACTTATATTGATTTCTTTCAGTGGAAATGTATGTATCGCGTATACTACAAATAATTTCAACATTGCCGTAATATAACAGTCAGTTAGAAGTCACCCCTGACAAATGCTTTCTTTTATCTGAAGTATTTTCTTTAATTCTCTCCCATCATGGGAATCCTGAGTTGTTAATGCGAAAATGTTCAAGCATAAGTGTTACGATATATTTTTCTCCCTCTGTATTATACGCTTATACTTTACAGATGAATGAATGCATGAAGCTGGAAAGCTATTTTATGCAGCTAACTGATGAATTGGTAACAAATCCTGCCTACGCTAAACGAGTGAGTTACGTGCTGCTTTCATATATTCTATGAATTAAGAATTTTCGACATTTTTAAAAACACAGGAATGTGATAAAACTAGAGTTCTTCATCACTACAAATGTCGGGCTATGTCAGTAGGCCAATGGTGGAAAACATTAATAAAATAACTGCTAACTAGATGTTGAGTTCGGAAAATAAATTCTAAATGTGTTGGTTACAGGATTCCATCATGAGCTGACATTAGTTAGAGAACCATTGGAAAACCTGGGAGTACTGGACAGCTGTTTCGTCCTAGTTTGGGACTCCTCAGCAGTACGCACGCACTGGGGTTTGAACCCAGGACCCTCTGGTTACAAGGCGGGCTCGTATACCATCAAGCCACTGGGACCTGGTCCAATGGCCCATGAATCTAACTTCTGCCAATTCACGACATAGCGCGACCCCTAGCCAATGTCTGGCGAGTATTTGTCCTCACACCCGACCAGCTGCACCCTACTGGTCACGACTTCTAATGTCGTGACTATCCTGTAACCAATCAAATCCCTACAAACCAACACTTGAATATCTAAATGTGTTGATTAATTCGTGTCAAGGTTTCGCGTACATTCCTCTGACTTTAGAGTAGTGTTAGGTGTATATGGTAAAAGAACCACTTGCATGTTACTATTTTTATAAACGTTGCAGACATCTTTATTGATGCAACTAGTACTGTCATAAAAAGCATCTGCGTCTTAAGGATATACTAAGATTAAAAAGCTACGTGTAAACATCCACATTCAGCATTCGTTGAACAATTATTTGTTTGTTTGTTTGTTTTTGGCTGGGAAAGGGGGACTTGAAACTCCAGGTAAGACAAGGCTTAGTTGGGCTAATTCTTGTCTCTATTACTCCGCACGTAGCCATCTCGTTAGTCACTACATAAGTTTACTTTGAATATATATTTTGGAATTAGTAGTCGTCACGAAATGTCCTGTCAGAGTATCAATTGTGATTACAGAAATAGGTGGAATTGACCTGGCTCATCACAAAGAGAGCAAATGATTCTGTCTTTCTTAATAGTTTGTTTACTAATTTTCTAAATGCTGCTATACGAGCATAAATCACGTACTAAAACTATTTTGTACTATTATGTAGTCTGGAACTTCTTCGACACCAGATTATTTCTCTGTGTAGTCATATGTTTCGTCTTACTCTTCACTAGCTTAGCGACCCGGTTGACAAGAAAATCTTATATGTTTCGCAATATCTGTCTGTCTGTTTTCGACATAGAACTTTGTACATATGTGCGGCAGTTCGAGTCGCCACACTCCATGTAGCACACAAAGAAAGTCAAGAAAGTAGAAGAAATACATAATAGAGACAGTAAACAGAGGTGTGAGACAAAGGAATAGTAGTAACGAAGAACAATATAGTTTCATTGGAAATCATAAGTCATAAGGAGTGGATGCATCTGCACTAGCCATTGAGAACGATTTTGAGCCATGTCACCAATAGTTTCCAACCATTGGTTTTTACCGTCCCGAGGACCCTAACCAGTCAGGAAGTCTACACCTTCCTACGCAGCTTAGATTAACTGTTGTAGATTTCATTGACTGGTGCCATGTTTTTGTTTGACCTCCGCTAGCTCTTTTCCAGCCTGACCCTATATCAGCTAACATTGCCCATTGTTGAGGAAGGCGATGACTAGGCATACGTAACACATGTCCTAACCATCACAGTCGATGTAGCCATACAGCCTCGTTGAATGATTTCCCCTCCCACCAACCTATAACTCGACGCCTAACCTCAGTATTGCTCACCTTATTATACCACTTCACACGGGAGATAGAACGCAGGCACCTATGATCAAAGACAGCTAATCTTTTCATGTCTTCCACTCTCAATGGCCAGGTCTCGCAGCCATAAAGGAAGACGGAGTGAACTGATGAGCAGTACACACGCCCTTTGGTTGATAGCCGGATATCACATCTACTAAGCCAGAGACGGCGTAAACTGGTATATGCGAAACTAGCCCTCTGCATCAGTGCTGAGATTTCGTCGTCTCGCAATATAGAGACTACAAATGTACCCAAATATTATAATAAAGTTACTACACTTCTGCTTGGGTATAGAATACTTGGTCACGTAAATATATTTATCAAGATAAACAATGTGTTTGTACTCTTGTCCCTTTCCTGTAGATGCTTGAACTCGAAACGAAGACGACAAAGTCATCGGTTCCGTATTAAACACAAACTCCTATCAAAGAAAAAAGTATTAATTAGTTTTATTTACCGTCTGTCTGTATTTGTACAAAATCGTGTTTTTTTTCGAAGTTAACGTCCTTTGCTGAAATAAAGAACAAACAAACAAGAAATTGAAACAATTAAAAAAATCCACTTCACATAATTTTTTTCTTAAATTTTATGCCTTCAATGAGTAAAATAATATTTTTTACTTCAATAACTTGGCTTTTAATCCGTAGTGTTTGTAAGTTTAATCAATACCTTAATTTTTAGATGTATTATTATTATTATTATTTTCCTTCATTCTTTCTTTCACTGATTGCACTTATACCAGAAACACGAAATAAATGTTATTTTGTACATAAACCAAAGTATATTACCTTTTGAGATAACTTTGCCTCTACTAAAATAATTCTCAGTTGTAGGATGAAGTGTACACAATCTCGACGTTGCAGCATTGTTTCTAGTATTCTTCACCTGCTTCATTTAGACGAAGAATTCTGATTCATTAGCTGAATCACCTATGCTTTGTGTAATATGCACTACTGATCATCTCAGTATTCAAAAACATGGAGTTAGGTAAATTACATACCTTCAGTGTGTAAACCATATATTCAAAAGGCTGTGTTTTGTTCAAAATTATTCGCGTCACTGTGGTATTCTAGACTTCAATATGATCTTTAGGTAACTGTTAAATAGTAGGAAATGCGTGTTTCAAGATAGTCTAAAAGTGCAAGAAGACATCCCTTGCATACAGTCTTTTGAAATGACTTCTTGTTTTATCTGGGGAAACAGAGTGGAAGCTGCAGGTAAAGTGGATGCTCACAGTCTGCCGAAATCAACTGCCCATAGTAAATGACGACTCCAATGAAATGGCCAAAAGGGAGACCACTCGCCCTACTGACAGTCTTCAGAGTTCGACGAAGTGAGATACAGTCTTTTTTAAGCAACCCAGAAAAGAATAAGGATGAACAGTAATGAAGAATAGGTAAGATGCACGAATTGACAAACTGTAAGAGGAGGGGTTGGTCGAGTTATGCTTGAGTGCCTTAACTTCTAAATGTGGAAAGTCAGACGAAATATTCTTTTAGAAATCCCTAAGACATGGGAAAACCAGGATTGGTCAGAAGAAAGAATCAATCCAAGATACTAACGTCAGACTTCATTTCCATATCACCTTCCTATGAACCCATTTTTCATACAGAAGTCATAAATTAAATCTGGGTGAAACTTGTAACGAAGTTCATAAACTGCATCCATTTTGAATGATGAACGATCTGGTTGGTTGTTTCAACGTCAAGGACCACTATTTGCTACGGCTGCATGAGTAGAGAATACGTTAGTTTGATATGTCTATAACCACTTCTGGGCAAAGTTAAACTTTAAGCACCACTAACTACCAATCCGAGAACGATCTTCAACGGACCAATCACATGAAAAAGAGATTTTTGATAAAGGAAAAAGTATAATTATGGAAAGAAACATAAAAACTGTTACATAGGGTATCTTTCTCTAGCATGTGACAGAAACATCTCCCAGTCCAGCATAGGACTCTCAGTAGAAAAGTCACACCACATTCTGTACATATATTCATCAAAATGACTATAAGTGAGATCCATGTTAGTCCTGATCCTATTTTTCAATCTTCCCCAAAATCCTTCTATAGAATTTGTATATGTCCTCGCAAAAGGATCGAAAAAACACTGGAATGGTTCACTTTGTGATGAATATATCCAAGAGATGACAGCCAGTCATAATCTCTCCTTTAGTATGTATTATTGATCCCTGTTTCACAAGTCTAGTAATAATAGGTATTAAAGTAGTTGCCTTTCTATCTGGTACTCTGCAGTAATTTATTGTAGTCGTAGTATTAGTATTTCAAGATGACCGAATTACACGAATCCAAACAAAACACAGAGAGGGCAGAATTCAGGAATTTGTATTTAGCGGAATTATAATGCAATTCATATAAGAAACATATTAACAATCAACAGTAAGTATTGAAACAATACAGAGATAGAAATTGTCAATCACCACATCCGCCACACGTCGAATATCTCCTTGCGTATTTATAACGATGTCTCGGTTTGCTTGCAAGTAGCTGCGACCTTCTAACTGATTCTGTGATATTACTTTCATCAGTATTATCTGGACTTATTTCTGAATTATCTACAAAATCAGGATTATTAGCGGAATCAATAATATTTTAATTGGAACGACCTACTTCATTTATTGTCACTTTGTCCAGGTGTCCGTTATGAACTGAGTGATCTTTGATGTCTAATATCTTCACCACTCGATTTCCCATTTTTTGTAGTATAATTCCAACAGAAGGTCTATAGTCTTTCCCTTTATAATAATGTACATTAGAAGTCGTGTGCTTTTTGAGAATTCGAGATTTGAAAAGTTTTGCAGGACTTTCACGGGTACTTGTATGCTCTGCATTCGACAAACGCAGTCTATGCATATGCAGTAATTCCTCAATTTTAATCAGTTGCTCTCTCATCTCATTCAGGTCTTTTCGTGTTTTCGACAGTTCACATTGTAACTCGGCTACCACATTTTTGAAAACAGTTGACACTTGAGTTGCCGAACTTGTAGTGGAGGTTTTCATTGGATTAGCTTGAGTATTTTGAAAGGTTGAAAGACACATTGACTCCATTTTACTAGACAGATTGGGAGAATTATAAGAATTCTGAGTAACATAAGTATTCGAACTTCTGCAAACAGTCTTGATGTGTCCAACTTTACCACATTTGTGACACTTAGCACCCCGAAAACGGCAAGTGCTTCGTAGATGTAACTTTCCACAGGATAAACACGGTTTAATGTTTTTGATCTCTGGCTGCATTCTGTTACCTGTGGACGGCAGTTTGGATTGCTTTCCATGACCACTTGTATTTTCGACTTTAGAAAGCATGACATCAGATACTGACGTAGTGGGAGCAGAGTATTCACTGTTGACATCTTCATATGTAATACATAAATCTTTAGCAGTTTGAAAAGTACAAGAAGGAATCTGAATTAACTCTTTCTCTAACTTAGGAATATTGATTCCAGCAATTAGACGATCACGTAGTTGAGTATGCAGCTGATCTCCAAAGTTACACTTTGAAGCTTGAGTTTGAAGTTGAAGAATGAACTCTCGAATCTTCTGGTTGGGAGCACGAACCAGTTTGTTGAAGTGAGCCCTCTCTCGCGTCTCAAAAGTAGTTATATGGAAGTGATCTATAAGAAGTTCACGGAGCTTAGCATATGGCAGAGAAATTGGTTTTTCTGGAAATGACAGAGTCTTTACTAGGCTATATGCATCTAGCCCAATAGCAGTGATGAAATGTGCTGGAATTTTTTCATCCCGAACATTCTTGGAAATGCACCACGCATCGAAACATTCCAAATAATCAGCAATCTCCCGCGGAGTAGCATTTATAGGAAAATTTCCCAGGTTATTTAGTTCCATCGCGACACCAATTTGTAGTAATTTATTGTAGTCGTAGTATTAGTATTTCAAGATGACGAAATTACACGAATCCAAACAAAACACAGAGAGGGCAGAATTCAGGAATTTGTATTTAGCGGAATTATAATGCAATTCATATAAGAAACATATTAACAATCAACAGTAAGTATTGAAAAAATACAGAGATAGAAATTGTCAATCACTACATACTCTCTCAACGAATCCTTCTCGTAGGGAAGTGTCATGTAAACTAATTACCTAATTATTGTTGGCTCACTGACGACCATGGTTGTAGTTTTTCTTCAGTAACAAATTTTCGTCCACGTGCACAACGATGCCTTCTCAACTGGAAAACGAAGTAATTCTTTCCATTTTCCATGATGCAATGTCTCTGCATCGCCCCCACTGACTGCAGTTCGGATGAAACGAAGGATGAGTTCTACCAAAAGCTGTCTAGTTTGGTGGGAAAGGCTAAGTGCTCAGATATAGTCGTTCTAGCTGGTGACTTTAATGCTCAAATAGGGAAATTGTGTCAATCTGAGAAGGTTATCGGTGACACCTATGGAGTCCCATGCCAGCGAACCGACAACTGTGAACGTCTCCTACAGTTCTGTTCAGATAATCATTTGTTTCTCGTAAGCACTAACTTTAAACACAAGGAGAGACACTGTTTGACTTGGCGATCCCCATCATCAAACCAACGCTGGACACAAATAAACCACATAGCAATAAGCTATCGTTGGCGTGGGTCGGTAGGAGATTGTCGCTCCTTCTGGAACACGTGTGTAGATACTGATCACGCACTGGTCCGCGCTCGGGTGTGCTTACGACTGAACGGACGTAGGAAACAGCTGGAGGTAAAACCATCACGTCCCCAGCTCGATCAGGAAACTAAATCCCTATTTTATTTTATTTATTTTATTTTTGATTTACAGCTTGATTCCACACTGTATTTTCGGTACAAGTATGGAATTTTCAGCATGGATATCGGTAGCCCAAATTTTCGCAGGCCGACCATAGATATCAGGTGTGCGTCGGTGCGGGCTCGAACCCCGGACCATGTGCATGGTCGGCGAGAGTCCTAACCACTGTGCCACCGACGCATATCTGAGTTCGACAGCTGTGCTCACCCTGAAGAAGCCTGGAAGAATATTCAGTCAGCCATAGACACAGCTGTAAAAGCTGTGAATAAGGCAAATCCAAAGGTGAGTAAAAACCACTGGATTTCGACTGCCTCATCCGAACTGATAGATGCTAGAAGACTTATTCCGGCGAGCCCCGAATTCAATGAGGAGCGAAAGCTGCACAAAAGGAAACTTACTAAAAGTCTCCGCAAGGACCGTGAACAGTGGTGGCTGACAAAGGCAAAAGAGATGGAAAAAGCATCGGCGATAGGCAACACTAGGCAACTCTTTAGACTCATCAGGGAAACGGGTGGGAGAAGGCAAATCATAAGTGAGACTATTTCTGAGAAAAATGGCTCCTTAATTAGCTCTCACGATAGACGCCTTGAACGCTGGAAAGAACAATTTGAGGGGCAATTTAACTTGCCTACAGCCACACTGAACCTCCCCAACATCCAGAACACACCCGAATGGGATATAGACACTGGTCCGCCATCTGTAAGTGAGGTCACAAAAGCTATCAGTAATTTGAAACGAGGCAAAGCGGCAGGACCCGACGGAATTATTCCGGAGGTGTTTAAATATGGGGGTGCCATACTAGTTTGTAGATTAACTGAGGTACTAGGCAAAGTGTGGGAATCAGAGACAGTGCCATCAGACTGGGGTAAGTCACTTATTATACCGATATTCAAGAAGGGAAACAAGTCCTCGTGTGATAATCATAGGGGGATCAGCCTAACGAACATAGTCTCTAAAATCCTAGGCTCAGTAATCATGCATAGACTAAGCAGAACTCGGGAGGAACAGACAAGGGAAAATCAAG